ACACACACACACACATATACATATTACGGATGGACGTAAAGCTGGGGCTTCAGGGACAGCTGGGAATATAGTTTATTGATAAAGCTCCCACCCTCCACGTTCTGTCCCCAGTACCATGAAACAATAATAATAAAATAAATGAATACATAAAAAAATAGAAGCCAGGTGTGGTGGTACACCCTAGCAATCTTAGCTACTCTGGAGACTGAAGCAGGAAGATTTCTTGACCCCAAGAATTTAAACCTATCCAGGGTAAAACAGCAAGATCCTGTCTCTTACAAAGTAACTAACAAAACCAGGAGTGGTGGCACATACCTATAATCTCAGTACTCTGGGAGGCTCTGAGGCAGGACTATTGTTGTGAGTTCAAGGCCAGCCTAGGTTATGTAGTCAGTTTAGGGCCAGCCTGAACTACATAAGGAGAGTGGGTCAATCATGAGTCAATCAATCCATCAATCAATCAAAAATTAAAAGGGCTGGGGATATAGCTCAGTGCAAAGGCCCCAAATTCAATCCCCAGTACTACCACATAAATGATATATAAATAAGCAAACAACTAAATATAATTAATTAATACAACTTAATACATAAGCTAATGATAAAGATGGACTTTGTATTCCATACACTACTCAGATCCTTTGTGAAAGGAGGCATGGGATTTCTGTGATGATTAATTTATTCACTCCACCCAAGAAAGCCTGACTCAGGGTTTGATAGGTGTCTGAGAGGCCTTGAGGGCAGCGTTACAGCCACTTATTAAGGTCCAGCTGGTGTGGAGTCACATTAAGGCTGCAAAGTCTGTACATCTGTGTATATTATCAGGGATACTTCGAGTCTTATTTTTAGAAAATTAAATGGATCATCCAAAATTGGTTTTGCCAAAGATTACCCTGAGCTTTGGGCATTCAGCGTCTTTTAAAATTGCTGTGACTGAACTAAGGAAAAGGAAACGATTCAGCAGTCAGTAAGCAAGTGAACAAAATGAACAAAGGTGTGTGTGTTGGGCTTCTGAATAAATGACGTTCTTCCTGCTTGCGCTACTCTGAGACAATCCTATTTCAAATTCGTGTTTATAAAACCTTTCGCTACAGGGGACAGAGCATGCAACTTGATGATCTTTGACACTCGCAAGACAGCTGGACAACCCAACTGCTACCTGTTTTTCTGTCCCAGTGTGGAAGCCTGTCCTTTGAAACCAGCCAAGGGCCTTAGGAGTTATAGGATAATCCAAGGTAAGGCAAACAGTCTTTTCTTTTGTGATTGGATATGGCTTCTGTGAAAAGATTTTCTGCAAAAGTCTTTAAAAAAAAAAAAAAAAAAAAAAAACTACTAAAATAGTTCACTAATGTTTCATGCTTGAAACTTGATTTCTTAAAATTTCATTCTTTATTTATTAGTTTATATTAATTAGATTATTGTGCTTCATTGTGGCATTTTCTTTCTTTCTGTTTGGTCTTTTTGAGACAGGGTCTTGCTGTGCAGTTCATGCTGTCTGTGAGCTCACGTCATAGCCCAGGCTGGTCTTGGGCTCACAATGATCCTCCTCCCTCAGCTTCTTGCTGGGATTACAGGCCTGTGCCACCACACCCAGCTTCATCGTGGCATTTTCAAACATACTTTGATCATATCCATGCCGTTATCCTCCCTTCCTGAAATTCAGTTTACTAAACCAAAGTTTGTTTTCTACTCAAAGACCTTGAAATGTTTTTTACCTTCATATTATAAAAGGTGCACAGATAGTTTACGAAACATGATTGAAGTCCCTACGTTAGGAACAGTATTAATACCTCTAGTAAGTCCACAAATATCCAGAGCAGTGGTGGGGAACCTAGGGGACTTATGCTGCAGCCCATGTTACCACTGACTTTTGATGAGGTGAAGACCTATGTGACTGTACAAAATTCTACTGCTTTTGTTGTTAAGTTCCTATTATTTTATAACAACATCAATCAAACATACTGGATTTCACTGTCTACATGGAGGGGTACTGATTCAGGAACCCTTTATTGAACACTTACTATGTGCCAGGTTCTGTGCAAACCACTGGAAATGTAGATTCAGTGCTTATGCAACTGACATATAGATTTAATCAAAATTCAGAAAATAGGGGCTGGAGAGATGGCTCAGTGGTCTAAGGCACCTACTTAGAACAAGCTTGGCAAAGCATCAGGGACCGCAGTTCAAT